GACTTGCTTCAACACTGTTGTTATATGAAGAAAGGCCAATTTTAAATAATCTCAAAGGAAAAGAGTAATGCTGTAGTAGACAGGCATTACAAAATAATTCCTTTTTTAGCAGTAATACAAACACAAGGCAGAACAATAATTTACATTAATCGATAAATCACAACTTCAATAAGATCCAGAAACCCTTTTTTTGCCTGTCTAGACTCTCGCCCACTGAACTCTTTTTAGTGCCTCAATAGTTCACCTATGAGCCTGTGATATGAACTGATCTCTTTATTGCTATATCCCTCTATTCGATTGCATCCGGTGCCATTCGGTCGCTTTACGCCATATAATTCTTATAATTGTTGTTAAAAACACCAATTAAAATCAAGAAATTATGTTCGCATCTTCAACAAATTTCTGGTTGGTAACATAAATTCAAATGTGAACAGAATTTGTCTTTTTTTGCATCTTTTTCGTGAAAAAGCCGTGAAGCCGTCGTTAACCGGATCATCGTTGAACTGGAAGATTAATGTCTTTTTAGGGTCGTTTGATCTCAGAAATGCACATTTACTGAAGATATTGAAAACTTTATTTACCTGACCAAAGATGGCAAAGTATTTGCAGTAATTACCATTATCTGATTGATATTGATAAGTACTGTAAATTATCTGAACGAGAGAGATTGATAAAAGAAATGATTTGAAAAATCTGTCAGTCTTAATACTAAATGACGCAGATAAGTAAACTGTATCTTCGCATTATAAAATTAAGGTTTTTTACTTCTGTCAATACTGTTATTTTACATTAAAACAATATGTATTTATCTGTATATAAAGAGAAAAGTCAACATCAATGTAGTAAATGATACAGGAAGCAAAAGCAACTTGTAGTATCTTACTAATTTAAAAATCGGTTTCAAAGTAATATTTAGTTGTTTTTAGTCTTTCACCACTCTTTTTTAAAATTTTTGTTGCCAGTGCTTATTAAACATTCATAACAAAAGTTTCAAAAATGTACACAGCAAAGTAAGATTATTGAGCAAATAAAAGGTACTTGAGTGGTAATGGTAAGTACTGTAATTTATCTAACGACGGGAACTTATAGAAGAGACAATTTTTAAAGTGCAACAGACAAAATGAGCAATTTTATACTCTAAAAAACTCATCTTATTATCTATAAATTTTAGTTAAGAAAAGCTTTTTTAACTGGAAATCTCACAGTGAAATACTGTGAGACAATAATTTTAAAAAATCTTAGAAAAATTTATAGTGTCATTTATGGTTACTTTGTCTCAAGAAACGATTTAGATATGAGCACCTCATTAATCGTTAACAGTATTTAATAGTATCTTTTTTTAAAAATTTACTTAATGTTGTTTTGAAAATACTCCTGCAGTAATTAAGAAGAAGATAGTTTTACAAACAAATTGCAATAAGTTTTCATTTCTCAAGAAAATGCAAAAGAAAAAGATGTTTAAGATAAGTTTTTGTGAAAAAAACCTATCAGACCTTGCAAATGATCAGATGACTATCGCTTATATATCAACTAATCATGTTGCATTAGAAGCAGTTTTGTACGAACTTTTCTCCTGGCTTCTTGACCTGTTTAAGTACATCAACAAACCACCTTCTGCATGGTCTCTACTTTTAAGAACTTAAAAGACAGAAAAGTCATAACTATCGCCACATCACTACGAGAATATGAAAATGCAAAAAAAAAAAACAAAGTTTTTAAACTGGAAAACAAAGATATAACAAAGAGATTTCAAACAGTGCAGGCAATAAATTTCCGAATTTTCTTTAGGTTCATATAACTAGCATTGTTTCATGGTCTATTCTTGCAACTAGAATTTATGTACTCAAACGGAATTTGAAAAACGATATGTGCAAAACAGACTACTGCGCTGTTCAACTGCGATAGGGGAAGAACTTTTTTGAAAAAGCACTATTTTTGCTGCTGGTGTTTCTGTGTCTTTTAAAGCAGAAAGAATATAGCTATTTTTTTCTTGTTGAAACTGCAAATTCCAGCAACTTTTCTAAAATTGACAGGTGCTGACGAAAGACATTTGTTTATTTTGGTAAAGTTTTAAATTTTCTTAAATTTTCTTTTTATTCAAAGAAAAATTACACCTCTATTTTTTTCCTTTCATTTCGAATTAATCATATTTGGGATAGTTAAATTTTTTTAGCATCTGAAGGGCTGCCGATATTTTATAGAACCACTGTCGTCTCAAAGCGATAACTCTTCATTTCGCTATAAAAAAATTTTAGTGTTTAAATTTTAAATTCAGTATTTTTTCAGTAACAGGCATAAGTAACTTTGGTTCAAGTTGCAGATAAAATGCAAAAAGAGAACAGATAGATGACGTGACAAATAATACATTGAGCACTTAGGTTATCAACCATAGGAAGAAAATGATAAAAAAATGATGTAAGAAAAAAGCAGCTTGCTCCACGTACTATTAAACTCATAGCATAATTCAATTTTTCAAAAAAACTATCTTTTAAGAAAGACAAGTTTTTGCTGTTTTACAGGAAAAATTAGAGTAACTAGTAAGCATAAAAGTTTAGAAAAAATTAAAACCGTAAGCAGTCACTTGATATCGCTCATTTTTCAGAAGTTTTTATATAAAAGTCGACCGATTAAGAAGTATCAGTTGAATATATGCTCGTTTTACTACATCGCTTCTCATATTTGAAACTTCGTTTTAGGTAATGTCATCAAGTTCCAGACGACTGAATATAGGCTCTAAAAGCAATTATTATTTATTTCACTACTACTTAATTAGCGAGTGTAATGATAAAACAAGATTAAATTAAAACTGTTGAAAGCCTGTTTTTAGTTAAGACAATTTAATTTCAGCTTTACTGAATGACTTCTTACATATTTGCTCATTTATATTTAGTGTTATTTGTCATTTAGCTATAAAATCTAATTGTCATCAGCTTTCCTAAAGGCTACGTTTTCTATGTGATATTCTGCTTTGTTTGACTTTTGTAACTGAGTGGCTTCCTATAAATGCTCTTTCAAAAGTTTTTAAGGCATCAAAGGTCTTCTGCTTTATTTTTCTTCTTTTTTTGTCAAGACTTTTGAGCATAAATAAGAATTTAAAATCTAAAAGTGAAAGATGAGATATTGTTTCACAAATAGAAATACAGCCAATTTCATAAGAAAGAAAACAGCCAGTATTTAAGCAACCTCTACTGGCTGCTTTTTCCTCAAAATGGAAACTCTTGCTAACTTTTTGAATATGGAATATTGAGTCCTACTCTAATTTTTTAGAAGAACTTAACTGTTAGCCGCTGAAAATGCACTAATCATCACTAAATCGAAAGCATCGAGTAATTTGCGCTAGTAAACTCCAAAAAAAGTATTTGAATTTAAGCAACGAAGAACAAAGGAATTGAAACGTAGAAATTTGTCATACTTTAGCATACATTTCAGACTTGCTTCAGAAAGTCATCATTTAATCAAATATTTAAACTCTTATTTCTGTGAACCAATTTTTTAAAAGCAACTCTAATATTCAAGTAAATTTTTAACCTTGAAAATGCAAGGTTTTGTGTTGACTGTAGCCTTATTACTACACCAAATTAAAGTAATTGTAGTGATCTCTACTACAATTAAGAAAAATAAGTTTAAATTTAGCTTTAAAGATTTAAGTGTTTAAAGTTAATTTGTATCGAAGTTTTCTTACAGAACACTACTCTTGGCGACAGCTTTTAGTGCCTAGCAGCTATGAAATTATATCAAAAAAAGATGCTTTTGGAAAAAACGCAATTTTCACCCTCTTTCTTGTTTTCTGACAAAAATAAAAATAAACAGTGATAGATTATAAAAAATTATTTATGCGTTAACACAGTTAGCCAAATGAATAACACGTATACTTTGGTCAGATAAATTGTGCTTTTAACTAAAGCTCCCCACCACTTAAATCTTTTAGGAAATTCTAAAAGAAGAAAAAAAATTTAAGGATACATATCTTTTATAATGCAAATCTTAAATAAAAAAATTTTTTACTAACGTTGTTTTATTTTATGCCCTAAACAACTTTTAATTACTTTCTGCACCACTTTTCAAAAAATTGATCACAGGCACTGCTCGAGTTCCCACATTCTTATAAACTTTGCACACCCTCACACCCTTAATCGCAGTAAACACTTGAAATTGACGGTTTACATGAGCTCTTAAAAATTTTCAATAATTTCGAAGTTTTTTATGAAACTTTTTATCTCGCCTTTCCTGAGTTAGGTTTGTTTCAGATGAGTGGAAGAGGACTTTTTGAAACTCTTCAGTTCATAAAAAAACTTTTTTTTTGTTTATACTATAAGCAACAAAGTGTTGTTAAGATACCATAGCCAAGCTTGTGTTGGTAAAGTGTGATAGTCTAAAGCAGTTAGGAATTCGTCATCAATAGAAAAACATCTTTAATAGCTTTCACTCAAATAAATTCTTTGTATTGTGGAAGGACCCTTTCTATACGTTTTGTACACCAGATAATCTGGTGAACAGTTGTCTGGGAACTTGATGAGTAAATGAGAAAATCGAACTCTCTGTTTGAGGATTTTTGCCAAAGTCGTAATTCCAGGATGTTGTTCGAAGAAAATCCTAAGGGAATATGACAGACGAGAGGTTTGACTCTCTTCTCAATCACACCATTTCTTACCTGTAAGAGATTACTGCGTTCATGGTCAGTCTTTAAAAGCTTAATTTTTGTGTTTCTAATTTTTTATAGGATTTTCTTTTTTGATTCAGTGTTAGAAATACTGCTTGATTTGCGTCGCTGTTAACACATCGTCTTCTGTTGGCAGCGGTAATCTAATGGTATCTGAGCGTGAAAAAAACTTGTTCACCATTTGAACATAGTATTTGCTAATTGAATTGGTCAATTTTGCTACTTCAAATACCGCTGTCTTGTTATTGTCAATTTTGGTTCCGATCGACTTGCTTTAGGATCTTGCTAGTATTTAAGAAAAACCATTTTTTGCCTAGAAAAACCGCATTCACCGCAACTATCACTCGGAAGCTGATAAGCACTTGACATCAGAAGAGAGATCATCAAGAGTGGTGTCCTGCAACCGATTGGTAAGTCAGCGCTAATAGCTCAAAAAAATTAGAATTAATGCAGGAACTTCTATCCTAAAGTTTAACAAAGTGTCTAATTTTGCTTTTGTTTAGCTTGTTTAATTATTTTCTTTCTATTCATGCATTTGCTAATTGTGATTTGTTAGTTTCGCTAATTGTCAGTTGCATTTCGCACAAAAATTGCTTTGTTGTGCAAAACAATCGAAGTATCTTATGTTGTGTACTGTAGATTATTTTAATAAGTAAATATTCTTTGTATGCTTACTTTTTTTGCTTTTTTACTGAAGATTAGAAGTTAATTCTGTCTTGCTAGAGTAATGTAAAAAACACAATAAAAATGTCTCAGTCTTATCACTTAGCTTCCCTGCTCGTGTTCAAACAGAAAAAAAATTCACGAAAGAGTAAAGCAACTAGAAAAAAAAA